TGGGAAGAACTTCTCCTCCGCTCTGACAGGGCCTATCACCTGCTGAGTCTTGTCACTTATTGAATAAATCGGCCCTTAGAGTAGAGTAACTGTAGCTTCAGAAACATTGTGAGAGCATCCTGTAAAAAACAGAGGACAGAAAATAAAGGCTGTTTTTTTCTCCAAAGCAGAGGAGAACCAGCAGGAAACCATGAGTCATGGTCAGTCACACAGACAATATATAGAGGGAACGTGGTCAGGTTTAATGACACCCTCTTTAACATCCGTGAGTGGTAGTTCTTAAAACACAGCTGACCATCAGTCTCTGCTTGGATTACGACTGTGTTATCACTATCCCTTATTGATTGATTGATTGAGTCTGGCTGTGTAAAGAGGTAATAGAGGAATAGAGGAATCGGACTTGGGTCCGGAAGGTTTTCAGGTTTCATGTCAGAGAAGATTGTGGCCTGAGTGTGACCTGGACTGGATCAGATGTCAGGTCCAGAATCATAACTGGTTTACAGAGAGATGATCACTTCTGTGGTGAAGATTGGTATTTACCAAACACTGTCTTTTTCTCCAAGAATTGGACATAGGACGTTATTAGGAAGACATGAAATACATTTTTTTTTGTGTGTGTTTAGTAACGATTTAGTAAATCTGGCCAAATACTAAAACCAAAAATACCAAAAAAAAAGGTCGACCGAAATATTCTCGTGTGTTGCGTTTGAGCAGATCGCAGATCTACAACAGGAGCAGTCGGAGCTGGAGAACTGTAACGCTGAGCTGGAGGACGAGGTGGAGATGAAAAGGGCTAGGTTTCAGGAGGAGATTTCTGAGCTGAAGGTAGGAAGAAGAACGGCAGAGATCCAACTGTGAAAGGAGGCACGCGACTTCATCGGATGATGTTTGCCTTGTCTCCCGTCTGTGTTTATGTTCAGATGACTCTCAGTGAAATGCAACAGAAGGAGGTGGATCTCCAGGCTCAGATCAAGGAGCAGTGTGAGGACTACCAGCAGTTGCTCTCTGAGAAGATGGCCAGAGACCTGGAGATCCTTGCCTACAGGTCATTGGGTTTTGTTTTTTTGTTTTTTGTTTTTTATCATTTAATATCTAAAAGACTTATTAATTCCTTCAGCATTTTTTTAAAATACATGGTCCACAGTAAATTGAAGAAAGACAGAGTAAACTTATAGTACAGCTACTTCAATCCTGATACCTGCTTGGTTGGAGTGCCTTCTAGTGAGAGCTTAAAAAAACTTTAAAAATTGGATTGTAGTTCGAATATTTAACATTAAAGAAGCATTAGAAATTTGAATCCAGCCCGAATGAACCTTTGTCTAACACAGGCGTGAACTAAGATAAATGACATGTAAAAGTCATGCATAAAAGCTAAAATGGTTTTCTATGCCACCTAGTGGGGAAACATGGGTATAGCAGGGAAAAGGCAGACATATAATGATAATATTAAAAAACTATATATTTGGAATGGTTTGATGGACCGGATTGAAAAACTGAACGGGCTGCATCCGGCCCCCGGGCCTTAGTTTGCCCATGTCCGTTCTAACACATACGGTAACACTTGTTTTCTCTGCTCCAGGAGTTTGGTGATGGAAGAGGAAACCCGGTTGTGTTCCCTGTGAACGAGGTCTACAAATCCGGAGGCTTCAGTTTTGGCTTAAAGTTCCAACACAAGCACACGAATCTAAAAAGATTTTCAAGGAAAACCCAGAATCGGAGCTGTTGTTTTGGCTAATACCTCGTTGTCGTGTTTGTCCCAGCAGAACGTGTTATTAACAAGCGAGGCTGAACTGACTGAAACTAGAGGGAAGAGGACAGGTATTCTGGATCCATGTCAACAGATCACTGAGGGACGACATTGACACTGGAAGGGAGGTGAAGGGGGACTATACTGGATTTGTCAGGGATTTATAAAGAAATTAGATGCCAAACAACCTTTTATGAATTCAGTTACAACTTGTATCACACATTGTGGTCCACTTCAATCATTTTCCTGGCCCACATATTGGAATTCTGAATGCTTAAAGGTTGTACTTTTGCTGCTTCTTCCTTCAGTTTCCCCTCTGGTCTCTCTGGTTCTGCTTCTTTTTCTGGTTCATTCTATGTTTTATCTTCTGGTTTTTGGAATCTTCTCAGTCTTTTTCTTCATATTTTCTGCTCCTTCTACATTTAATTCCTTGCGTTTAACCGTTGTTAAAGTTGCCCTTTTATCGAGATCAATAAAGATGTGATCTTTATGTGAGTTAAATGCACTCTATGCATCTATCTATGCATCCATCCATCCATCCACCCATCTATCTATCCATCCACCCATCTATCTATCCATCCACCCATCTATCCATCCACCCATCCATCCACCCATCCACCCATCTATCCATCCATCCATTCATCTATCCATCCATCCATCCACCCATTTATCTATCCATCCACCCATCTATCATCCACCCATCTATCTATCCATCCATCCACCCATCCATCTATCCATCCATCCATCCATCCATCCATCCATCCATCCATCCATCCATCCATCTGCCACTCTGCCTGTCCCTAAAACACTTGATTGATGAAAAAACCAGTGCAAACAAACAAAACCAAACTTATTGCTTGCTTATCCATGCTTAAATCCAACTACAGGAGCCTAGTTGGATATCTTCCACTGAGGTTTTGCAGGTTTTTTCGTTACCGAGTGCAGCAGAGATGTGTGCTCTGAATGAAGATTGGCAGCAGCTGGCTGATAAATCCTGACTGAAACCTTCTCATTTCCTGAACCTGCGTCAGTGGAATCAGACTCTCTTGAGCTCGGTCAGTTCTCCGAGGTATCTCGGCGGTTTTCCACGGCTTCACTCACACAAATAAACAGTGTCAGCTCCAAGAACAAGCCCTCGTTTTTTTTAACACTCTTCACCACAGTTGGACCATGGCAGAGCAGATGTGATGTTTTAAAAGGCAAATAAATACCAGATTACAAGTCCCTGAGTTGAAGAAGAAAATGCCAAAAAAAAAAAAAAAAAGGAAAAATATACAATTTCTTTTGAGAACATATTTCCTTAACAAGACGGGAACAAATAAATTATGGGGCCACTTGTCTCTGGAGTCAGGCATTGCCTGAGGGCCACAGGAAGTGGACATCCTACCCTCCCCGCCCCCTATTTTCATGATGTGCATGGTTTGTGTAGAATAATGCGTCAGTAGGAAATAAGACGAAAAACAGCCTCAAATTAAAATCAAAATCCTTAAAATAATGATGTTAATTAGATCAAAACTAAGGCTTTGACCAAGTCTTACTGGAGAAAAAGGAATAACAAACAAAATTCATATTGTAGCAGCGTTTAGAAGAATCGCAGTGGAGAGTTCCTGACGGGTGTACGTGTTTTATTCTTCTGAGATGTCTTCAAGCACCGTGAAAACCGAAGAACATAAACATAAATATTCACTGCTCATCTTAACAATGCTTAAATTGCGATGAAATATTTTACGTTTACAACTTATAGAACAAACATCGTATCAAACACGGCTTCACAGTATAAATACATATATCTTTTTTTTTTTAATCTTGCGCCGCTTAACCAAGGGACGCGAACTCCCGCGCTAGCTAACTTGCACGGTTAGGATCCAAATGTTCCCTGTAGCACTTTCCATCAATTTCCAGAGGTACAAAACAAACTGAGGAGGGGCTTTTCTCCATGTCTGCTGTGCGTTATTTATATATATATTTATATATATTTATAGATATATTTATATTGATATATTTAACACATAATCGCCCTGGAACATGAATGACAAGCAACAGTTCCAACCCCGTGTCATGAATGAGCCCTAAATAACTGCTGTAGCGGCCACTTGGACATATATTAGTAGGGGTGTCCGATATGAACTTTTTGCCGATATCCGGTACGATGATATCGTCCAAACGCTAAATTTTCTGATTCTGATATCAACCGATACCAATATATGCAGCCGACCCTACAAGCGATTCCAGCATGTTTGGCCAAACCCAAGCGTTGCATTATCGTGTTTTCATTATCGGAGTAAAATTCCATAACAATTCTCACAGATATTGCACAATTATGCTAATATCAGGCCAAAAACATCGGTTGGCCGATGTTATTGGACCTCCCTAAATATGACCAATTAGATTGTTGTCATCAATCACTAAGAATTAAGTGTGAGACTTTATTTTATGGCACAAAACTGTTTCAGATGTAAATATAATAATAATATATGAATCACGATTTTACCTTTTACTTCTTTTTTCCTTCGTTTTCCCACAGAGAGAAAACACAAATCAACGCTGCGGTGTTTGTGACAGCGTGTCTTTGTTCTCCTGTTCTGTCACGGCCCTGCAGTCTCCGAGGGTTTCCGCAATACCGACAATACTGTAGACCTGAGAGTGTGCTGACAGCCCTGACCCAGAGTTCACCTCCACCCTGACCCAGAGCAGGTGATAAACAGCAGCAGCAGCAGCGGCGGCGGCAGAGTTTCATCTTTATCCTGACACCTCTGGTCCAACTCCTGGTCTTCAGAATATCAGGAGATGAAGTGAAGCACTTAGGTTTTAATTTCCCTGCAGTCCAAACACTCGGCGATTCTGTCCAAGCTGCAGTTTTCTCTGTCCCCGAAAGATTTAACTTCATAAAAACAGTGAGAGTCGGAGTCGATGGAGGTTCAAAAAGTCTGGACTTTAGGGAAATACCAGGAAAAACAGACTCTGTGTTTAGAACGCTGTAGTTTTTTGGGTAAATAAAACTTGAAGTGCCCTTAGTCCTCAAGACGGGGTCAGGAGTGAGAGAGACTGAGTTAGAAAGATGAAAAATGCCAAAAGGATTGTTCTGAAATGACTCCTCAAAAACATTTAAGCAAGTACAAAAAAATGCAATTCCTTTACCGTTAGAATCTCATGCCATGCAACATCTTGTTTTTTTCCCATTTTTTTCCTCATATTTTTATTTTGTATTTTTCAATTTCTTTTTTCATATTTTTATTTTGTATTTTTCAATTTCTTTTTTTCATATTTTGAAGTAGCCTGAAGTAGCCTGGCTCAAATAGTGGGAAGGGCCCCGGTGAGGTGCCGAGGGGCCACAGGGATTGAGGGGGCGGGGAGGATCAGATGGCATGTTGGACAGCAGTGTGCCGCTGTTGTAATGCTTGAACGATAAACAAGCCTCCAGTCCACTAGGTGGCAGCGACTCATACAGGGGTTTGTACAGATAAGAAAATACGTATTATCGGATTCTCAATAGTATTTTGATATGGGGTGAGGACAGTAAAACCTTTATTGTACCAAGGTCAGCTAGTGGTTAAATTTTCAAAATAAAACATCTTTTAGTCTTTCTTCTGTTAGCATCAGAGTCTGAATGTCCTGTTGTTTTGAAACATAGATTATCTTTGAATAAAAAAAGTAAAGCGATACGACTGGATTCTTTTTGACTGAAGTAAGTTAGTAAAACTGAAGTACACTTTTTCACTATGTCCTACTGCGACCAGGTACCAAATGACCTACGGACCAGCACCGGTAAAAAAATGTAAATTCCTGCTATTTTGCCTTGGGCAAATACACAGGACAAACTTTTATTCACCTTTAATGTCGAATGTTTAAAAAGTTTGGCTTTAACTGGTTTGACACCAGAAAATGTGGAGGGGGGAAAAAATCACACTCAGTGGACGTTGCTACTGCGAGCTTGAGGGAAAATACGTCGGGCACAGTTAATGTAAATGTAGTCAGTCATGGCCTTGAGCCCTAACGTCACGCTGCAGGCTTTTGAACAAACTGCGGATCTTGTTCTCTCTCCGCAGCAGTCGTTCGTCTCTATCCAGACGCACAAATGGTCGTGCTCTGTTTCCCGTCAGAAAGTGGAGTTTTTTAAAAACCTGACATCACTCCAAAACATTTCATAATTATCTGGGTTGAAATGTAGTCTGTCTGTTAGCGTGAGGTCATTTCCACTTTTTCAAAGTTTACATAAGGATATGTAGGAAAGGTAAAAAAAAAAAAATGTGAATAATGCATAAGCAAAGTTCTGATAGAAGAGACAGCACAAACTTGCTGGAGAAACATTTTTTTTTTTTTTTTTGAATGGAGTGCAACGGTTAGCTAAAACACTGCCTCTGCAAAAAGAAGCTAAAAACTTACAGACAGATATACGCTACTAATATAACACACAGTAGCCTACCAGAAAATCAATTGATTGCTTAGCGGTATGAACTTCGTTAGCCTGTAAAAATCCATAAACTAGCCGCATCAACGTTTTAGCCGCAGGGTTCAAAGCATGTAAAAAAAAAGTAGCTGCTTATAGTCTGGAAATTACGGTATATCTCATACAGAGATCATTGCTTTGGAAGTGATTGCTCCCATATATAAACAATAGTTGTGTTCACGTGAGTGTGCTCAGAAATGTGCAACTCTGTAGCCTTTGTTGTTGCCAATAAAAAAAACCCCTAAATTAACCTCACACGCAAAACGGATTTGCATTTTTAAAAAAAATAGATTCAGATTGTGTTTAATGTGAACACGATGTGAAAATAAAAGTTTTTTGGGTTTTTTTTTCAACAGTTTGCTGCAGATCCTTCCAGAAGTGACGTCGAATGTTTGAAGACTTGTTTCTGCTTCTGCTCCTTCTCTGGACATTTATCTTCATCTTCTGGAACACAGCAGCCCCTGGCCTCGCTGCCAGCTCCTCGCTGCTTATTTGATGATTAAATACGTTCTGATTTTGCAGAGCCAGAGTTGTAAACTTCCTGTGCGGCTGCGTTTCACTCCGCCGCTCCCCAAAGGCCTGGCGTGAAACACCATTATTATCCCTGCAAATTAGCTCAGTTAACCCCCCCCCCCACCCTCTGCTCCGTCTCACTCTTTGTTAACCTCTCATTTTTCACTCTGTCTGAACCCTGGACCACAGGACCAGAAGACTGCCCTCTCCACCCCCCCCCCCCCTCCCCCCTCCCTCACCCTAGATTCTGGCCTCTGTGAATATTAAACAGCACAGGGTGCAGGAATGTCAGCAGAAAATTGGCAGCAGATGTTGTTGCAGGGTTTTTTGGTTTGTGAAGTGTTTTGTCTACAAACTAAGCTGTAAAACATCTCAGCCCTGACAGCTGCCCTGTTCAAACTCCGGGTTCAAAACAACGGCACGGTGGTGAAGGACTGTGGTGGAGAGAAGCTCAGGAGAAGGTCGGCAATCGGACGTCGGTCAGTGGTGGAGGAACCTTCAGAGGGAACTAGACTGTAATAAAGACACAGATGAAGCGCTCAGCTACCAAGACAACCTGTGGCCTAGGGTTTCAGAAACTCATCATCACTCAACACTACATCATCATCATCTTCCCCATCTTAAACCAGGTGTGTCAAACATACGGCCCGGGACCCAAAATCAGCCTGTTTGATGAATTTTGAATGAATAGATAGATGGATGGATGGATGGATGGATGGATAGATAGATGATAGATGGATAGATGGATGGATGGATGGATGGGTGGGTGGGTGTATGGATAGATGGACGGATAGATGTATGGATAGATAGATAGATAGATAGATAGATAGATAGATAGATAGATTGATAGATAGATAAACCAGGTGTGTCAAACATACGGCCCGGGACCCAAAATCGGCCTGTTTGATGAATTTTGAATAAACAGATTTTTGAATAGATGGATGGATGGATGGATTGGATGAATGGGTGGGTGGGTGGATGGATAGATGGACAGACAGATAAATGGGTGGGTGGGTGGATAGATGAATAGATATCGCTCTTGAACTTTCTTAAACTCTTGGGAAATACTCTCCCTTTGACACGTACTATATGTAGCCTTATATAATGCAAGGCAAAATAACCTAAAGACAACCAAAAGATAATATAATATTTATAATACACTTAAGACTTTTAAAAACTTAAAATTAAAAAGACTTAAAAGTTTTAAATGAATGAGTTTTAAAACCTGTTGTGAATTGATAAAATGAATCACTGGGGTGACTTTTTTTCTGTTAAAAATGTGAGTTTTCTGACCCCGCTGTTGTAAAAACAAACCCGTAGGAAGTGTTGACACGTGACGTCCACGATCCCGAGTCCATATGAAACCCATGAACGTGTTTTCATACCTTTCCTTCAGTCATCGTATCCTCGGAGTCAGAAGAATGTTAACACTCTGTAAAAATAACAACCAAACTAAGGATTGTAGAGTTTTTTGGTGACTTGAGTGATGAAAAAAAAAAAAAAAAACCTCCATTAGCTTTGAAAAATGAATGAAGGAAAGAGTAGCGGAAGGAATTTGAGGTGCAAGGAAAAATCCCATAAAGGAATGATCACGACCTCGACTCTCAGAAAAAACTGTGATATATATATATATCAGTAGCATCAGCAGTAGCAGTATCATCACCTCGATCATCCTCATCACCATCATCATCATCATTTATAGCATACTTATTAACCTAACATAGTCATCTCCGATCACCATCTTCATCATCATCTTCATCATTACCCTCACTATCCAGTGGCAGCCAACGTCATTTACCCCTGCTGTGTGCAAACCTCGACAGCTCCCCCTCCTTCACCTGGGCTTGTTTATGCTCTACTAATCCTGCCTTCTCAGTCATTCGGTTACTTTTTTTAAATTTATTTCAGTGTAAACGAGGGTATGAAGTTAGACAAAAACTAGCTCGAGCAGTAGGTCTACATAAGAAAATAAAAATATCAGTTTATATTATTTTGTTTTTTTGATTTTTAAGACGGACAATAACCCATGACGCTCCTTCCGAAACACATAGATACAATTCATCCTAGTTTCTTAACAGTGGCTGGACGGCGGCTGCTTTACATTTGTGACTCTGAACAGTAACTGTTGTGAACGTAACTTGATAGAAACCTGTCAAACACCGAGGATGGAGTCAGAGCTGCTGCTGCCTCTGCTGTGTTTGTGACGGAGCCACAGTGTTTTGTTTCTTTTGTTGTCTATTGAGTTTCTCTGCTGGCATCGCTGACAGAACGCTTTTAAAGACTTGCCAGAGTCTGAGCTCACACAGTCGGTTCTAATGAAAGCGTGCTCGTTAAAAAGAAGAAGAAAAAAAGAAGAAGAAGAAGAAAAAGAAGCTTAAAAACAACCAGCAGAATTGACATTTCACTTTGAGGTTCGGGCTGCGGTGGCTTTCACAGTCACTCTACAGTGGATTGGACGGGTCTTTTAGACTCGACTTGGTTGTTTAAAGCGCAGTACTGACTCAAAGACAAACATGGATAAGGCTGCTATGAGAGAGAGCTTAATTGTTAAAGTAGAAATCGTAGAAATCACTTCCTCCAGGTCTCTGCGGAACCAAAAGAGAAAGTCCTTAAAGTACTCACACTTCTTCATGTCTCCATCAGTCAAAAATCTTTTTCGTTTGGGACTTATACTCAGGTGCGACTTATATATTAAAATATATAATTTCACGTTTGTTATTTTCACACTGACAGCCACTAGAGGGCACTCTAGGCTTGTGTACCAATATCTGCTACTACTGCACCACTGAAAATTTACATGATCGTTATTTTTACATAGACAGCCGCTAGAGGGCACTTTATGCGTGGTACCAGTATCTGCTACTCCTGTATCACTGGAAATTTACGTTTGTTAATTTCTAAGTGATAGCCACTAGAGGGCAACCTAGTGTTGTGTACTAGTATCTGCTACTTGCGTACCACTGAAAATGTGTTTGTTATTTTCACACTTATAGCCTCTAGAGGGCACTCTAGTTTTGTGTTCCAGTATCTGCTACTCCTGTACCACTGAAAATTTACACTTCGTTATTTTCACACTGACTGCCGCTAGAGGGCACTCTAGGCTGAAACAAGTGTCAGAATGATTGTGAAGCACGGTAGACTGATTGATATTGTTGAGGAAAAGGACTTCGCCAAAGTTTTGACAAGTGCAACTCTCAACGATTCAACCATCCACTGTCAAGAGGCGCAGTGATGACTAAAATCCATCAACTCTATGAAGAGTTTGACATTTTTCTATATTAATAATTCTATCATTTGGATTATTCACAAATAAAAACACGTCCATCAACCTAGTGTTATTTGTTTTTTTTTTCCCATTATTCACAAATAAAAACACGTCCATCGACCTAGTGTTATTTGTTTTTCTTTTCCAGCAGTATACAGAAAGAAAATCGTTTGTCATACTTAGGAATGTAGGTTTGTCCGGATTATTCTTGATCTAATGTGGTCACAATTAATTGATTAACAGTGATTAATTAACTTCCATGCAATTATTCAGATTTATTGTGTGATTAATTCCGACGTGAGGATGAGGTTCCCGACGGTAACATTTCAATCAGAGCATGGATTTTCCTTTGATGTTTTTCTTGAGATAAATCAAACTTTGGGTAAATATTAGCTGACAATGTTTCTATGTGCTCTTGTTTGTGTTTCCCCTCTGTTAACATAACTTCATTGACCAGCGTCAGGTCTCTGCTCCATATCAACTGTTGTCCTACTTCTTCTTGTGTACACAGTTTTTATTTTCAACTTCCAGCACAGTTTCCCTAGCAGCTGATTGGTGGAACTGTGTTGACCCGTGACGTTTGGTTTTCTGCTGATGTTTACCTGCTGATCTGCAGGAAAGGCTGGAGCTGATTCTCGTGTCAAAGCTCGAAGTGAAGGTTAATGCAGACTGTTGACATAGAGAACAACCAAGACTCTGTTTACTGTTATACTATGCATCACTTTAAAACTCTATCTATCTATCTATCTATCTATCTATCTATCTAACGCGTGCCCGTTTTTCGTTTTTCAGCATATCGCCAATATGAACTTTACAGGAGGCAGGCAGTACCCTGCCTCACCTCAAGGGATCGTACGTGAACTGACAGGTGCTTTGGAGCTGCATTGGTGGCTTCAACAGAGGAAATTGAAAGTTAGCCGTCAAGCTAAAGCCAGTGAGTCGAGAATAGCGTTTTTTTATGCTCTGCCTGGTACGACTTACTATGGAGGATTGTATTTCAAGACTAAAACATTTCTCAAAACTGGACTTCCGGTCCAAACATAAGTGACGGAAGACAAACGCTGGAGCTAAAAGGTTAGTTTCAAACTACACTACAAACGAAAAGGCTGACTGTGTGGCTGCCCTGTAAGAAACCGCTTTCACGGCTTTCCTTTCCTTTTATTCTCATTTTGTGATAACGTCTGGACTAACTCGGGATACTGTGACCTGAAAAAATTGCAAAGAAGCCTCAGCAGACATGACAGATGAGCCACGCACATTCAAAGCTAGATATCTTTGACAAAGAAGCCTCAGCAGACATGACAGATAAGCCACGCACATTCAAAGCTAGATCTCTTTGAAAACAATGGAGGCTCAACATTAGCATACACAATGCTAAGGTGAGTGAAAACCGAGAGATTTTAAAAGACCTTATTAATGCAACCTGTTTACTAACCAAGCAGGAGCTAGCATTTGGTGCTAACGATGAGGAGCACGACATTTTGCCATTATTATGCGACAGTTTCCGTTATTGAACGCACGAGACAGGAGTTTCAACACAACACGCAAACAGTGAGTCAGAGACGAGAAGGAAAGACTGTATTATAACATTATGGACAATGACAGTGTTCAAATGAAAGCTCGGTTTGACCACTTCAGTGAGCTAGCTTTCCTCGGCTTGGTCGACTGTACCACATTTCATGAAATGTCACAACGTTTTGATGACACCAAACTGCAGCGTCTGTCAAAGTATGCAAGATTCTTTAACTTTGTATGCCTAAAGACTGATCTTGTCGAACTGTACATCTCGCCATCAGTCAGGAATGGATGCCAATCCGCTGGACAGCTTCTCAGCTTTTTGGCCAAGAAGCATCTAATCCAGACTGTTCCAGAGGAGAACTGACGTCTTTCTTCTTTGGCCATAATCTCCATCGAGACGGACTCTACAACCAAGTCTTAGAGCCTTTCGTAGAGAAGGATCGGCGCATGGACTTCATCTATAGATAAAGGTAAGGCTAAAAAGTGTTTTTTTTTTTCTTTTTAAATAAGATGTGAGTAGGACAAATTTTGTAGGACAAATATGTTCCTGTGGCCTCACCGGCCATGAACCTCACCGCACGTCACTAAGACAGTGGTATGTTAATGTGACGGAAAAAAAATAGAAATGTCTCTCAAAAGTCCTAACGTTTAACTTGTAAACTTATTTTAAACATCATAGTTGTACTGTAGGTAATAATCGGGTCCACGGTGGCAGGACTGTCTTTCTGTAAATACCTTCATTTAAAAAAACTAACAAAAAAAATGAGGTTAAAATGAAAGTTGTTAATTATTTAATTAATTAATTAATTAATGAAATAGGGGTTTAGTAAAAACAATACCACTATTTATCTGTAACAGTTTCAGCAGAGTCTTGAACCAAACAGAGTGAAACAAAATGCGGCGCTAACCACTTGGGACGCATAATACTTCCGGTCTTTTAAACCGTATTTCTTCTGCCTCAATGACAAAGCAAAAAAAAAAAAAAAAAAAAAAAATCAGTTTTTTTTTTTTACTTTACTAAGACGCTGATACTAACCCTACATCATGGCGTATAGGGTCAAAACACTCATAGGAAGTAAGGAAGTGAATGGCTCCACAGGTTTTATATATATATATATATATATATATATATATATATATATGATATAAAATAGTTTTATATGTTTCAGTTCAATAGTACCTCAGTATTTCTCTCATTTTTGTGTCCTGGGACTGATGATGTTATAAAACAATGCCAAGAAAAGCCTTGGCTCAAAAGAAAAATAAAGTTGAGGGAAAATTGTAGATGTGTTGTTTTAAAGAGAAGTTTATGTTTACAAAGTGAAGCCAACTCCTGCTGCAGACTCATAATATTTTTCCTGTGCCCTTGTTTTCATGTTTTTGAAGCCAAATTGTTTCCTGTTTTATTTCTGGTTGTGTTTTTATGAGCACCACACCGATCTGTCGCTGCTGTTAACACACATCTGAAGGTTTGTTCAAAACCTCCTGCTCTTGCTCTTACCTGCCTCCAGGTTCCCCTCTGAAAAATCAGTGACAGATGTTTAAACATGGTGTTTCTCCCCCGCGGACACAAACACTGACTAAGAGGTTTAGGATCGAGCATTGGAAATGGAAAAATGTAAAATGTTTGTCAGTATGAAGAACTTTCACAGCATTACCTCTGTTTTTGTTACTTTTAGAAATATTTAGACTTTTATTTACTATTTACTTTTAGAAATATTTAGACTTTTATTTACTCATATTGCTCTTTGTCCAGATGGGTAAAGATTTGAGGCGTTGGTAAATGACCATAATTCCAACAAGATCATGACAGCAGTAATGAGGTTTTGGACTGATGTTTCTGTTTAAGGTCATGGAGTAAAGGTAGAGAAGCTTATCAGTGTTTATGGAGGGTTTCAAGATTGGTGTTGTTTATTGCAATTCTGTAAGAAAAGAAAACATTTGTGGCTAAATCACAATTAACTTCTTCTGACCATAAAATAGAAAATAATTCTGTTGCCAAAAAAGACCAACACAACTTTTTTAAAAATCCTGAATTTCCTTTACTACATTAAATAAGACTGTTTGTTATATTACCAGACAATAGCTATTTATATAATACTATAATCTGAAAAAATAATAACAAATTGATATATCTTTGATCATGTAATAAATTCAAATATTTATGTAAAAGTGTAATTCACTTTTAGTTTTAAGATGGTATTTCATAATAGATTAAAACAACCAGGCAAAAAAACCCCACTTGTCCCAGCTTTTGTACAACTCGATTCCTTTTTCATAATTCAATTTCCCAGTCATTAATGACTTATTTGTATGGTACATAACAAATTACAAAAATATGCCGCTTGGGAAAATGACCCCAGTTTAAAAAAAAAAAATTTAAATTGTGTTGATCGGCAATTAAACATGTTTACACATTTTTAAAAATGTGAGAAAAATGACTACGCTGTTAACTGTAAATAATTATCAAAAAGACTAATTTTATGTTATAGATCCGTTTTTACACATCACAGTGTACTTTTTCCAGTTAATCTTGGTTTGTCTCTAAAACACTTCTGCTGCACAGACAATACTACAATTCTCGGCACAGCTGCGAACATGACCCGAGAGCAGCCAACTGCTGTTGCTTATTTATGCAAAAAAAAAAAAAAGAAAAAAAAAAGAAAAACGAAAAGTCACTTAGAGACAGTCTTGGCTTGAACAAACAGCCTTTCAATCATCTTCCCCAACAACGACGGAGGAATAAGTGACACTAGCAGCACCTGCGTGTGCGTGTGTGTTCGGTTTTAAAATCACAGTCGGAACAAACTGCAGCTGTTTGGAACCGCAGCAGCGCTGGAGCTGGATTAAATCCATCACTGTGTCTTTGTCAGACCTTCTCAGAGCTTTGTTGGTGGCAATCGCTGGAGAGTGACTGCAGTAAACTGGCTTTTTATGATGTGGCAGAAGTTGATTATGAGACTCGGTGCTAGGAGCACACCAGATGTTTTGTGCTTCTCTGATTATATACATACATCCAGAAGGGACGTCTGTTTGGTCCCAGTGCCTTTTCTTCTCTCTGGGGCTTGAAGGAGTTTTGCCAATCATTTGAAGAACCTCATGAGAATTGGCAGCTGGATCTGAGAGTGCTTTTTTACAATTGGCTGCAGCTCAGTCATCAGAGTGAGAATTGTTGTTGTTGTTGTTCTTATGTGATAAACAGTTAGAAGATATAGTACAGTGAAGTTGTTTTTATTTAATGAGAAGAAACTCTTTTTTTTAAACTGATTTTTGACATTGTTCTCATAGACCAGGCATGGGCAAAATACGGCCCCGGGGG